CCGCGCCCTCCTCCCGCCGCCGCTCGCGGCTCCGTGCGCCGCCGGGACCGCCGAGCGAGCTGCGCCCCTCTCCCAGGCTCACCGAGTCCGGCCTCTCCATGGTGGACTGGCACCTGGTGAAGGGGATGAAGCCGCCGCGGACGCAGCGCGAGTGGGAGGCCGAGTTCCGCAAGTACCAGCAGTTCCCCGAGTTCAAAATGTGCGTGGGACGGGGGCCGGGGGCCGCCGCCGGGAGCGGGCAGGGGCGCCCCGGTGCTAAGGAGCGCTGCTTGCGCCTCTCAACAGCCTGAACCGCGACATGACGCTGGCCGAGTTCAAGTTCATCTGGTACATGGAGTATTCGCATCGGATGTGGGGCCGCCTCGTGGGCCTGGCCTACATCGTGCCCGCTGCCTATTTCTGGAGGAAGGGCTGGCTCAGCCGCCCCATGAAGGGCTGCGTCCTTGCGCTCTGTGGCCTCGTCTGCTTCCAGGTGAGAGCCCGGCAGCTGAACAGCCTGTGGCGCTGACAGGATCTCCTGTTCTCGACTGGAGAACGGCTAAGACAGGGCACGCGCGTGAGCTTTTGCAGAGGGCTCAGTCTTAAAAAGTTGTTAAAAACGTAAGAAGCAAGTTATCTTGCCTGTAAATTATCTGATCACAGCAGCCGCTGCTGCTCTTCCAGTGCTGATAGAGGCAAAAAGGAATCTTTGCTGACCTTTCCGCGGCTGCGGCCTCGGCAGCCCTCACGCCCGCTCTCTGGCGGCTCTCTCAGGGACTGCTGGGATGGTACATGGTGAAGAGCGGCCTGGAGGAGAAGCCGGATTCCTACGACATTCCTCGGGTCAGTCAGTACCGTCTCGCTGCGCATCTGGGCTCCGCGCTGGTTCTGTATTCCGCCAGCCTGTGGACAGGGCTCTCTCTGCTGCTCCCACAGCACAAGGTATGTAGGGAATGTCAGAGCCAAAAGCAGAGAGTAATAAAAAGACATCAAGCACAGGGCTTATAGGACTTAAAAACCCAGGCAGTTCTTTACTTTGGCCCCGTTACTTGTATTTTGCAGCTGCCTGAGACCCATCAGCTGCTCCGCTTGAGACGGTTTGCTCATGGCACTACAGCTCTCATTTTCCTTACTGCTCTCTCAGGTAAGACTCTTTCTTCCTGCTCTCCTGCCTTCTCTTTCTTCTGATCTGGGAAGGACTCCAAGGAACCTTATCATGTTCTCTGGAGAAAACTTATTCTCTCCCGAGAACTTGCATCCAAAAACCTTTCCTAGTGGTCTTTCCTAGTCAGGAGAGCATCCTGCTTACAATCTGTGTGCTGCTACGTGACTTAACGTGTATGTTTCTAAAGGCAATTCAAGATGAAGCTGGATTTAGGATCCACACAGTCTGAGGTGCCACCTGAATGCAGTCAGTTGATCCGACTTCTCTGCTCTGGACCTGCAGGTGCCTTTGTGGCAGGGCTGGATGCTGGCCTGGTGTACAATTCTTTCCCCAAGATGGGGGAACGCTGGATCCCCGATGACCTCCTTGCCTTCTCTCCTGTGCTGAAAAATATCTTTGAGAACCCCACAACTGTGCAGTTTGATCACAGAGTCTTGGTAAGTGACGTGTTCTCATTATGCTGCAGCTTCCTCTTGGTTGCCTCCAAAGGCCGGGTTGCCTTCACTGTGCTGTGGTTCTTTCAGCAGGAGTGACATTCAGGGCATCCATCCTGAGTTCCCGAGAGCTTGCTACCAAGCTCTTCCTCTGGAAAGAGGAAGGCCAGCACTTCCTGGTATTTCAAAGTGCTTTGGAAGGAAGCTTCCGAACTTGCCAGGTTACACACTCGATTTTGTGCCTCATTTTCCGTTACATGTATAAACCCATGTGAAAACATCTCAGCTAGTTAGAGCAATCCAAATACTAACCAAGGGTGGCACTGCAGTGGACTAAACCATTTCTAAGACTGAAAAGGAAGATCAAGTAATTTGGGCAGGGGAGGAATCCTCTGAGGTGACCTGCAGAATGAGATGTGTTGGTAACTTACAGCTGAGTGGTGACAATGAGATCAGTTTTCTGGTGACAGCTTTTACATGGAATTGACAAGGTGATGGACAGGGATAGCACGGAAATAACCCATAGTGACTTAAAAAGGGAAAAAAACAATGGGATTAAAAAGGGAAAAAAACAATGTCGATTTGGAGAAAATGGAACTCAATGGCCTTATTTAGACTTTAGGTTTGTGAAGTTAGTGGGTCACAGGAGCTGCAGGATTTCATTGTGGCTGCAGTTAAGTATGACTTGAACAACACCTTTTATTATTTATTTATTTATTTCCTGCGTGGAAGATGCAGCTAAAGGCATCTGCACCTATTTTCTGTGGAATGTTCTTGAGGAGAAGTTGTTTCTCTGGCTCATCCCAACTCGCTCCCTTCTCTAGGGAATCGCCTCCGTCTCGGCTATCACGGCGCTGTACCTCTTCTCCCGGAAGGTCCCGCTCCCTCGCAGGGCCAGGATAGCGGTGACGTCCCTGCTCGCCGTGGCGTGCCTGCAGGTACAGCCCCCCGGAGCCCCCCAGCGCCTGCTCCCGCGTACCCGGCCGCAGGCTGAGCAGGGATGTGGGAAGCTGGGCTCCGGCAGGGGCGCACCCCGCTCTCGCAGCCGCCCTCACTGCCTCTTCGCTGTCGGCAGGTGGGCCTGGGCATCAGCACGCTGCTGCTGTACGTGCCCACGCCGCTCGCTGCCACCCACCAGTCGGGCTCGCTGGCACTGCTCAGCACGGCGCTCTGGCTCCTCAGCGAGCTCCGGCGGGCACCCAAGTGAAGGCACCACAGGACGGCATGGCCAGAGGCTCCGGCACCGCCGTGCGGGGCTGCACCCGGATCTACTGCCGCCAGCCGGGGTGCCAAGGGCTGCACGGGAATCCCGGGCTCCCGCCGGGCTCCCTCGGAGCAGAGCCGGGGCTGCGCGGAGCGGGCGCCAGGGCAGTTTGGGGAGCAAACGCTGTAACATAAAGGAGTTTGGTAGAGGTGCCGGTGTCTGCCTGCTTCCTGCCCGGCGCTGAGGTGACGGGCCGCCCGGTGCCTGGGGACCGGGGGGCGCCCGGTGGCTGTGGCGGGTTGGGGGGGCGCCCGTGCCTGGGGACCGGGGGGCCGCCCGGTGGCTGTGGCGGGTTGGGGGGGCGCCCGTGCCTG